CGCTTTCCCTTCTTCCTGCTTTAACACAAAGGTTCCGAAAACAATGATTTCTTTCATCCGACGATGAACGATTCTGATAATGAATACGCATTTAGCCCGATGTTTAGCGTCTTGCATGATATACACGTTGCCTTTGGTCGCACAGTGAAGTCCACACCACCGACACTTTCTTCTGCCCTTCAATTTATTATTTTCGAGCGGTTTTTCACATTGCAGCTAAAAATACTCTTCGACCGGTGTCGCACACAGCTGAGTGATTAACCTTACATTTTGAAGCGTAAGTAGCAAATACTCACTGGTCGGTCCCTCTCTAGTACTCACATGGAAAACGTCTCTACTGGTAAAACAGTGGTTCTGTTCTACTAGTGTGAGACCCTTAACACTCCTGCTCCTTTTCAGTTCCCTAACCACCATCACTGCAAGTATTATGGAGTTATTCGTCGATCATTCCTAATCATTTATTGTAGCTAGGTGGAAATCGTAGGTTGTAATCTTGATAACCCAATCACCGTAATCATGGTGCATTTCTGCTTTCATTTGGGGTTTTGAAAAGCATGGTCCTCGCCCGCGCCAATCAAATTTCAGTTCAACCCATAAAAACAATTGTTCTGAATAGGCGCCGCCTTCGTTCACACTCCGAGTTATTTATCATTTACTGCTTTTATTTCAGAAGACGAGGCAATGCGCCTGATGAATAACCAAGGCATCAGTTGCCACAGTTCGCTGAATGAAGAAGATAGTGGCAGCTCCGAAAACCAGAACAACAGTAACACTGCAATGTGGAGTGCCCCAGATTGGCTAATCGGAGGTAGTAGCACGTCCAGCAGTAGTTCCGAGTCACAGGTCGGTTCAGAAAATGGGCTTCTTTTCGACAACACACCGGATTGTTCGATCGAAGGCAATAGCAGCGAAAGTACAGTGTGTGTAAACGACGAACTTTGTGGTACTGGAAGTAACGTAAGTCTCGACGCGGATGAAAGTAAAGGCACTGCTAAGATCGAGGGGAGAGAGTTAGATGAAGACAGTAGTAACTGTCCTGTACGACACACCGAGAACAGTGCAAATTCTGAGGAAAACAATGGCCCTAACGAGTCTATTCAATCAGATTATAATACGAGACCCGATACTGGTGA